CTTAGTCTTAGGCAATACTGTGCCCAAATTATATTGTATCATTTTTTTGAAACAGAGCTTTCTTTTGGTGGTATTTAATCACCACTGGGCTTTTAATTTTTTGCTATATATATTTTTTTAAAAAACAAACATGTTTTTCTCTGTTTCTGTTATATAATTTTGCAAACAAATAATCTTTCTTCATAAATTTAGGACAAAATGTATTCTGTTACATTTCTATGTCAAAAATAACCCAACTCAGTGTATATTATTGAGTCTGTGTGAAAGTTATAGAGTCTACAAACTCTGATATACTGTATATATACTTTATATTTGAAAATTGATCAGTCCCAGTCAGGGGCGGACTGACCATTCGGAAACTCGGGCACTGCCCGAGGGCCCGGGGTCAGTAAGGGGTCCCATGAGATGCCCCTGGTACCTTTCATAGGCTTTTTTGGGTGTGGTTTGAGTGTGGGCGAGCACACAGGGGCCCCATGATCCCCTATTGCCCGGGGGCCCCATGAGTTGTCAGTCCACCCCTGGTCCCAGTGTACTGACAGCCTCTCATTTCTTGAGGCCCCAAAATGCAAGGACAGTAAAAATAACCTCCAAATGATCCCTTTTTGGAAAGTAGACAATCCAAGGTATTTAGTAAGAGGCATAGTGAGTTATTGGAAGTTGTAACTTTTTGTCATACATTTTTGGAAAATGAAGACATTAAACATTTGTTTTTTTACTATTTTTATAAAACATACTGTCACCAGAGCAGCATAGCATCAACATATAAATGTTGTGGTGGTGATTAGGGACAATGACTGGTGACACTATGGTTGTTTATTACATTGATGATCACTGTTATAGGCAATTATTTGAATGAATAGCATCCATTCATGTGCCATTGTATACAATTTTGATAGCTGTGATTGGCCACAGCTATCACATAGTACAGGTGCACTGTGATTGTCCCTGTCTATACCATGTGATCACTGTGACCAATCACAGAGATCAAAATAGTACACAATGAATGGCTTTGAATTAAAGCCAGTGTGTACAATTGACATGTGATTGATGTGATTGGTTGCAGCAATTATATGGTAACAAGGTACCCGGTACAATGATCTGTCTTTGCGTCAGGTCACGCGTGAGGCACGACCGGAGGATGACATATGACGTCCACACAGGATAACGGTGCACCAGCCCTGCCATTTTATTAAACGGCTGGGTGGGAGGTGGTTAAAACTGAACTCCAGTAAAAATTCAAAAGTACTGCAAGGGTTACATGCTCATTTTTATCTAGGGCTCCTTCAAAGCCTCATTCACACATGTGCTGAGGCCCATACACCATGAATTGGTCATCTGTTTATTCTTCTGAAGCCTCCAGGTGTTGCATGCAGGCAGCCCATGTAACACACACTGCGGTTGATTTACTAAAGAAAAATAGACTGTGCACTTTGCAGGTGTAGTTGCACTAATTTTTCCCAGAGCTTAGTAAATGAGGTAAAGCTCTGATGATTTCCATCATCCAATCATGTGCAAGCAACAATGCTTTTGTTTGTTATTTTCCATGCATCTGATTGGTTATTCTTTACGAGGTTACGCTTTACCACATTGCATGTTTTACACTATCCCTTGCTCCTGCAGGCTTCCTCCTCATTGTGCAACCAGTCCCCCAAAGCTGCTTCTCTTCAGCAGTCCTGTATTGTAAGTGAGGACACTGAGGGCCTACTCCAACCCGGAGCATTGGAGAGAGGAAGAAAGCACTGGCTACCAGAGGGCCAAAGGGATAAGGTAAGTAAAACTACATTGTAATAATACCCTAGATAAAAACAAACATTTAATCTTTGCAGTGCAGGGGGAGCCCTGTTGCAAAGGTAGGTTTGAGTTCAGCTTTAAGGGGTTCAGGAATATCCTAATGATCACAAAAGAAACTTGGGAGCATTTCCTATAATAATTGGGCTTAAATGACCCAGTAATTAAAATCAATGCCTTTGATTTGAGCTTCACTTGAATTATTCTGGTTTTGTATTTTCCTCCAAGGGTGATAATGAGCACCCACAGACAACAGCCATGCTCATTATTGTACACAGACATTTGCCAAAGTGTTACAAATTCCTGTGCGAGCTGGACCTGACTCTTCATTCTTCTAAGGAGAGGAGGGTAGGGTGTAAAATCTTACGTCAGTCACTGTCACTGCCAACCACTGTCAATGTTATCCGAATATTGTGGTTGAATCCAGATGCTACAGTGAGTGATTTGAAGACATGCAGACATTGTATTGCTTATCATTCTTGGGCAGATAATCTTCCAATTTATGGGCACCCAAATGGTTAACTGGATGAGTTTGAAAAATAGAGCCATAATTCCTCTTAAGACATGCTGGCAGTTCTATTTCCAGATGTACGCAAAACACAAATGGCAAGATTCTAAAACAGGCAATTTTCCACCATTTGCAGTTCCCAGACTTCAACAAACAAGAATCATTTGCTGTAACCACTCATGAGGATTATTTAAAGGAAAATATAAATTTAGGAAATTATGTAGGCACCGCTTTTGTTTTCACAGAAGTATTTCAGGACATTTCACTGGTATAAAAAAAAGTTTAGCCTTTGTGGCATACTTTATAACTGTCTCTTGTAAACTATGATATCCACTTACTGAATGCTAATTAGCCAGCATATTTACATAAAAGTGAAGTTGCTTGAAATACTGTATATATATATATATATATATATATATATATATATATATGCACTCACCGGCCACTTTATTAGGTACGCCTTGCTAGTACCAGGTTATACCCCCTTTACCCTTAGTTCTTTGTGGCATAGATTCAACAAGGTGTTGGAAACATTCCTCAGAGATTTTGGTCCGTAATGACATAATAGCCTCATGCAGTTGCTGCAGATTTGTCGGCTGCACACATCCATGAACCGTTGATACAAGGCAGAATGGATCCATGCCTTCATGTTGTTTATGCCACATTCTGACCATACCGTCTGAATGTCGCAGCTGAAATCGAGACTCTCATCAGACCAGGCAACGTTTTTTCCAATCTTCTGTTGTCCAATATTGGTGAGCCTGTGTGAATTGTAGCCTCTGTTTCCTGTTCTTAGCTGACAGGAGTGTGGTCTTCTGCTGCTGTAGCCCATCTGCTTCAAGGTTTGACGTGTTGTGCGTTCAGAGATGGTATTTTTCATACCTTGGTGGTAATGAGTGGTTTTTTGAGTTACTGTTGCCTTTCTATCATCTTGAACCAGTCTGCCCATTCTCCTCTGACATCAACAAGCATTTTCATCCACACAACTGCCGCTCATTGTATATTTGCTCTTTTTAGGATCATTCTCTGTAAACCCTATAGATTGTGTGTGAGAATCTCAGTAGATCAGCAGTTTTTCAAATACTCAGACCAGCCCATCTTGCATCAACAACCATACCACATTCAAGGGTACTTAAATCCCTTTTCTTACCCATTCTGATGCTCGGTTTGAACTTCAGCATGTTGTCTTCTCCACGTCTAGAAGCCTAAATTCATTCAGTTCAAGCAATTGAACAGGTATACCTAGTAAAGTGGCTGGTGGGTGTATATATTGTAACATTTGGGTATGTTTAGCTCAGTGGTAGATGTGTTTGCAAGTGAGTTCATGCCAGTCAGGAGCTATTAAAAGTGAAAAAAGGAAAGTCCAAAACACAATGTTTCCCACGCAGGGGTTCTTCTCCAGCAAAATATACACAATGCAAATGAAAATACTAGCACACCTGACTACTGTTCAGCAGCACTGCTGCTATAGTTACTGGTCCTTCTGACCACCATTCTTTCGGGGACACACAGCTTAGAGCTGAATACACAACTCCTCTGGCCAACTCCTCAGGCCATTAACTCAGACGTACACAGCTCCTCAGGTCGTTAACTGTCTCTTGCAGACCTTCATACTTCTGCTGCCACCTGCAGACCTCCTGTCTCTCTTGGGTGGAGCCCTGAGATATTCCTAAACCTCCATTCATTATAAGGTCTGTGTGCACCTGGGGCACACACACTGCTGTTCCTCCATAAAACCTGGACGCTGGGTTGCAGATTCCAACTGCAAAAGCAGTTTTCTCCACTCTCAACAGCTATACTCTATAGTCCTGCACTCAGCCAATGTGCACACCCTGTGTTCTTTAACTGCACACCCTGTGTCCTTTAAATTTCACAGTGACAGAGTATCGTCCTGTCACTATATATATATATATATATATATATATATATATACACACACATGAACAAACTATTTATATATATATATAAGTTTTAAAATGAAAATGCCACTTTCATTAAAAAGGAAATCATAATTGCTGTGTGCATTATTTTGTAATTTACAGTCATTAAAAAAGACCTTTCTTGAAAACTTTACTATAATCAGGTTTTAAGATGAAAAAAAAAAAAACAAAACTGGAATGTTTTGCTCTAAAATGAAGCAATCCAGCACTGTAGAAAGAAAGAAAGAAAGAAAGGGAAAAAAAATAAAAATGAACCTTTAAACATACACTATATTGCCAAACATATTCGGATGCCTGCCTTTGCACGCACATGAACTTTAATGGTATCCCAGTCTTAGTCCGTAGGGTTCAATATTGAGTTGGCCCACCCTTTGCAGCTATAACCGCTTCAACTCATCTGGGAAGGCTGTCCACAAGGTTTAGGAGTATGCCAATGGGAATGTTTGACCATTCTTTCAGAAGCGCATTTGTGAGGTCAGGCACTGATGTCAAAAGAGAAGGCCTGGCTTGCAGTCTCCACTCTAATTCATCACAAAGGTGTTCTATCGGGTTGAGGTCACGACTCAGTGCAGGCCAGTCAAGTTCCTCCACCCCAAACTCACCCATCAATATCTTTATGGACCTTGCTTTATGCACTGGTGCGCAGTTATGTTGGAACAGGAAGGGGCATCCCCAAACTGTGCCCTCAAAGTTGAGAGCATGAAATTTTCCAAAAAGTCTTGGTATGCTGACACCTTTTAGAGTTCCCTTCACTGGAACTAAGGGTTGTGCTAATCTGAAGACCACACAATGTTTGGAGGTTTTTAGCTATTGACTCTGCAAACAGTTTGCGACTTCTGCGCACTATGAGCTTCAGCATGTGCTGACCCAGCTCTGTCATTTTACGTGGCCTACCACTTCATGGCTGAGTTGCTGCTGTTCCCATTTGCTTCCACTTTGTTATAATACCACTAACAGTTGACCATGTAATATTTAGTATCAAGGAAATTTCACGGATGGACATATTGCACAGGTGATAACCTATCACGGTACCACATTTGAATTCAATAAGCTCCTGAGAGAAACCCATTCTTTCACAAATGTTTGTAGAAGCAGTCTGCATGCCTAGGTGCTTAATTGTATACACCTGTGGGCAAACTGAGCAAGAAGTTCATCCCCCCTCCTTTCCCCCGCAGCCTTCTGGGACACTTCACAAGTCCCAGAAGACTGCGGCCCATTCACTGGGGCCCATTTACGCATGCACATTAGGAGACCAGCTGTGAAGTCGCAAGGCTTCACTGCTAGTTTCCCTTAGTCAAGATAGCGGCGCCAGCACCAGATAGCCGATTGAAGAATCAGCTCAGGGTGAGGACACCACTGGATCCCTGGACAGGTAAGTGTTTTGTAGCTGCTGACTTTTAATTTTTGGGAGGGAGGGTGGAACTCCACATTAAGAGAATATTCTCAAGGTGAGCCCTATTTATTTTTTGATGAGATTAATATTGTGTTTCCAGTAATAAAAAACTTGGGGCAGTGCCAGAGGACAAAAAGGTGAGTCTCTAAAAGCCTCATGGAGAATGAATAACTTGGTAAGTCCCCTAGCTGTGGAAATGGAGACCATAGGAGTGTATTGTGGAATGATTTCCCATTGGTCATTAGTAATATGGACAACATCTTGTTTCCAATTAGATTTACATGGAAGAGGAACAGAAAGCATTGGTGAGCAAAGCTAGATAGCATAGATATGTAATATAGCTCATTTGTCAGGATAGCCATGGTCAAGACTGTGCTCAAAGGAATTCTCATGTTAAAGGAATACCTATGCTCAAAAGAATGCGCATGCATGCAGAATGGTCCATAGAAATGTGCACCTTAGAAGTCTATGCACACTTAGGACCCTGTGCTCATCTACACGAGCCTTATTGTACTTTGCCTGCCTATGTGTGTGAATGTGCTTGTTTGATGGATTTTGGCACCCAATGTCCTATTTAAAAGTCTTACAGCACTCAGGTTCATTGCTGAGTGGTCGTCAGCAAATTCTGCTTGTGACCCGATCCTGTGCTTATCAGTATCTTGACCTGGCTTGCTGATCCTGCTAGTTCCTGAATTTCTGGTTTGTTGCTGACTCTGGCTTGTGACCCGACTCTGCTTCCTGCCTGCTGTTCCAGTATGTCTTCTGCTCACGTGATGCTGACCTTGGCCTGGCTCTGACTCTGCTCCTAGTTTCTGACTCTGTACTCCTGTTGCCTGGTTGTTGCTGACCTCTGCCCATCTGACTATGCATCTGAGATCCAGTACTGCTGGCAGCTGGCCTGCTTCAGCTCTGTCTCTGCTGCCAAGATTCTCCAAACCAGATATCCTACAAGCACCCGTGCCACTCTGTGTCATGTTATACCCTGATATCTCCCCCCAGGGGAAACAGGACCACAGGTGTAAGGGAAGCCCTCTCTTCAACGCAGCCTTGACCAAGTATGTGACATCCTCTCTTCGTTAAGTTTGTAAATATGCTAGTGAGATACTCAGGAGTCAGAGGAGTCATTTGTGTTGCACTTGGATTACATGTTTGAGTTGTATAAAAATGTGATTTAGGAATTTGAACTTCATCCTGCAACTTTTGAAAAGGTTTTAAAATATAATTGGCAAAGATCTGGTAGGTGTGTGTGAACACCAATGCTGACCAGACTGTAAGGGTTCCTAGTTTTTATATTTCTGGGAGGGATGCAATGTCTCATAAGGGAGGGTTATTATTGATATAGCCCAACAAGCTTTTAGTTGTTTTCCAAATTTTTGTACCAGAAGTAAGGTGAGGGAGTAATGGAATTTTAGGAAGAGTTTTGCTTCAAGTGAAATGGTTCGGAGTCTGAACCATGGATATGCAACATGAGGGTTCGTGAAGGGTCTACACTGTTGGTGTCAGCAGGGCCATAGATATTTTTTTTCTTGGGGGAGGGGGGCAGTCTTGGGAATAAGTGGCAGAATTGTGATAACAGTAGGAGGATGGGGCATATCGCACAGAGTATATTGGTCAGAAGGGGTTAGAAGTGCATAGTGAGGTCAGGGGTGCATATTCTACAGAGTAGAAGGCTCAGGAGTGCAGACTTAGGTAGTCAATAGCGCACAGAGTGCAAGGGACAAGAGTTTATAACACACATAGAGCAAGGGTCAGGAGTACTTAACACACAGAGTGCAGACTTCAGGAGTAAGTAATGCACAGAGTGCAGGGTCCAGTAGTGAATAAGGCACAGAGTGCAGGGGTCAGCAGTGCATTGTGTACAGCAGTCAGGAGTTTGTAATGCACAGAGTACAGAGGTCGGGGATAAGCAGTGCATAGAGTGCAGGAGTTAGGAATCTGTAACACGGAGCTCAGAGGTCAAATTCTCTAGCCTTTTCCTAGCTCGCCCTCTCTTTCATACCAGTTCACAAACTGGCAGAAGAACTCAGTAAGCTTTGAGGAGATGTGGTTGTATTCCCCTAAAACACTAATGCATCATTCTCATAGGGAATACATTTTTCCCCAGAGGCACCCTTAATGAACTCTATATTATTAGCAGAATTCAAAACTGCTAAAAGATGGAATGGCAACACAAATAAGAGGGGAGACATGGGACAGCCCTGTCGGTGCCTCTAGTGGGGTACAAAGGATCTGAACTCTCACCATTTATTATCACTTGTGCAGATGGCATAGAGTACAGTATTATTTTCTTTTATTTTTGGTAGGCAAAAAACAAAAAGGTTATCCAAAGAACACACACTGTAAAATAGACAGAGCAGAAAAAAATTAAAACAAATATACACGTAGGGACTTACTTCACAGTGCATAGCACAACAAAGACCATTATCCATCAAGTTATCCATTTTGCCCGGTGACAGGAGCTCTGCCAATAAAAACATATGGGGGTAAGAAACAAACCTCATTTAGGATGTTTTTTTAATAATTGTACAAGCAAAACCTTAAGTATGAATACAAAAGAAAGAAGTAAGAGAAAAATAAAAATGGGGGGGAGGTGGGAAGAAGGTGGGGTTGGGAAGGGGGGAGTACTCCTTTAAACCTCTACCCAAGGGGGTCTGTGGTCAGTAAGTCTATGTCTGTTGTGGAAAACTGGAATTGTGTCCAATAAAACCATATCTAACATAAGTGCTCTTTTTTTTTTTTTTGCATAGACATGGTAAAGTCTTCCATGGCACATACTTAGTTTGACTCATTGGGTAATCAATAGGGTTTGTCCAGTCTTTCGATCAGATGGGATACAGAACTTGGCAGCATTTAGGAGGTGATTTACCAAAGATTTACTGCATTTTCACTTTGAAAGAGGAGGTAGAGGGGGCACACTGCAGGATCATTTGCCAGGGAAAAAGCTTGTAATGTCCAAGATCATCTCTCATACCTTGCACCAAAAGGGACGGATCAAAATATACAGAAGAGAGTGCCTGTGGGCCTCCATATTTCCAACAGTTAGGGGAAGCATCCGGGAACATTTTATGTAAGTTTGTCAGGACTCTGTATCATTTACAGCGGATATAAAAAAAAGTCTACACACCCCTGTTAAAATGCCAGGTTTCTGTGATGTAAAAAAATGATACAAAGATAAATCATTTCAGAACTTTTTCCACCTTTAATGTAACCTATAAACTGTACAACTCATTTGAACAACAAACTGAAATCTTTTAGGTGGAAATTATTTTGTACCCTTCTCCTGACTGATACCTTTTAACAATGAGATCCTTCTGATGCTTTGGAAGCTCTCTGCGGATCATGGCTTTTGCTGTAGGATGCGACTAAGAATATGTCAGGAAAGACGTACTAGAACAGCTGAACTTTATTTGGGGTTAATTAGAGGCACTTTAAATGATGGCAGCTGTGTACTGACTCCTATTTAACATGATTTTGAATGTGATTGCTTAATTCTGAACCCAGCTACATCTCCAGTAATCCAGGGAGTCATGGTTGTTAAGGATGCTTCGGCCGCCCCCTCCTTCACAACCAGCCATTCATAATGAATTTGAATTAAACAAAAGAATCAAATGCATTTGTTAATTTTATTATAACTTTTTTTCAGATTCGTTGACATTCACTACTTTATTCATTCAGAAATTCGGATACATCTGAATCTCCAAAAATATAATTTGCGTACGAAAAACTAATCAGAACAAAACAAAATGCACATGTATAGCAGTGATCAAAGACCTATAATTCCTGCTGGGGACCCAAATCAAAGCATTGTGGCAATGGCATGTGTACACCCACAGCCACTGCCTTTGCAGCAAAAGGCTGATCAATGGGGGGGGGATGTGGCTCAACTTTGAGTTTTTACTGCCCCCCAGTTGCAAATTGTAGATGAGACACTACTGCTGCATTTTACAATACAAGTCTGAGCCCTGACACCCTGAAGCAGTATTTCTGCTATAGGGCTGCGGGACAGTGGTTAAAAGAATTGCTCTTGTGAATGTACCATAACCACAATGTAGGGCCGATATGTTCATGTTAGTTCATTGATATACAGTACTGTACTACTGAGATACCCAGTTAGGTCCAAACATATCAGCCTCAGTGTCAGTTGTACATATAAAAGGGTATAACTTGGTTTTCAACCAAACTTGAATTTCAGCTTTACTTAAAATGATTTTGTGGCTTGAAACACTGAAAACAACGTGCTGTGACTGACAGTAATTTTTACTATAAGGAATAAGAAATGACCCCAGTAAAACACAGGTGCTCCTAGACCTTGTAACCAGACATGGCATAAATTGCTCTTGTACTGTTGTTGGTAAATTGAATTCTCTATGACATGCTTCAGTGGAAAGAAAACACATTTAACAAGAAAGCTTTGTGACATTTTTCACACATGGTGCAATCACAAGACAAATCATACATTTGTCCCCGGGCTTATGCTAAAGAAATCATATTTAGCTACATTTATAAGATATTATGTCTCTGTATCAGCTCACTTGGACAAATAACATATCCTTAGGGAATACAGTCTCTGCTCAATCAGGCTGTACAGACATACCATCAAAACCATGTGTTTTATTGTAATAATTCATATATATATAAAACACTGAGGTAAAACAAAAACACAGGTAAAAAATGAGATTAGCAGCACTCCCTTTAAGAGGTTACTTCTA